TTCTAACTTAATGTCAGCATCATGCAGTAATTCTTCCTTCCTGAGGTAATCTATTCTCAAAATAGAGATTTTGCCTCATATAACCAGGATCATAACTAGAGTGAACTAAATTATGAAAACAAAACATTTTTATGCACCATATTTCCAAGTTATCTGTGTCATGGAAGTGCAATTTGTAATTCTCTTTTCTTTGGCCACAGCTCTTCCAACATAGCTTTCCAACACTGTCATATATTTTCTTCTAAACATTATGTTCTAATTGTGTGACTAACACTGACAAATTTGTAACAAGAGTCTTCCTTGACCAGCCTGTCACCACTTCCCCTAAATGCAGGGTGGTTCTAAGTGAGTGATCTTTCAGAGACACTCCTCGTTGGTGTCTGGGCGTTACCCCACAATCTAGCCAAATTACTTTTAGAGTTCAGTAAGCTCTTTGGGCTGAACAAGGCTGATTTCATTTTTTGCTTCAATCACAATCATCTAATTGCTGAGACTCTCCGTCATCTTAAGGAAAAACTGAGAATTTACTGAAAATGTTTGTGCAATGTAGCTTAGTTGTATGGCAACAGAAAGTAAATCACTGAAAAAACAAATTTTTTAGCAGAATAATCATGATAAGTATATGACTAAGAAAGATCTCTATTTAAATTGTACTTCACATCTAGCCAATTACTTGAAAAAAATGAAGTATTTTTAAACTGGTTCTCTAATACTCAAAACTTTTAAATTGCTTGTGGATATATTTTGTGCAGCTTATTAATTTTTTTCATTCTCAACATAGCAAAATCCTATGAGAATTATTAGCAATTGAAGTTATATTTAAATTAAAGTCATCACTAAGTTTTACTTCTCAATCGGTAATTTTTATAAGGAATTTATATGTCTAATCACTTTAAAGGTAATGATAAGAGGGATAAAAAGTAAGATACAATTAAAAGTTTAACAAATAATTGGAAAGATAAGACTAACATACAGAGTGCAATTATGTAGTGATGAACAAAACAATCTGTAATCAAGTGCTGTATTGTATAGGAGCTAGTCAGTGAGGATGAAGAGAAACAAGTTAAAACAGTGTTTCTGAGGAGGTAAATTGGTAAAACCTTTTTTTTTTTTTAAAGAAATTGAGAGTACTTATTAAATTCTTTATATGATTTTTCTTTTCCAAAATGCTGATATAAAATCTGGATGTCAGCTTTACAACCAGTTTTAATTTTCATTTTTAGTTATTTTCATGCAAACTTTTAAACATACACAAAAATAGGAAAATGCATCTCCATGTTCACATCACCAAGTCAACTAATAGTTTCATTTTCTTGGGATGCTCTCCCTGTAAAGATATTCACAAGAAGGCTCCTGGGTGGGGGCGCCTGGGTGGCTCAGTCGTTAAGCATCTGCCTTTGGCTCAGGTCATGATCCCAGGGTCCTGGGATCAAGCCTGGCGTTGGGCTCCCTGCTCCGCGGGAAGCCTGTTTCTCCCTCTCCCACTCTCCCTGCTTGTGTTCCCTCTCTCGCTATCTCTATCAAATAAATAAATAAAATCTTAAAAAAAAAAAAAAAGAAGGCTCCTGGCTGGCTCAGCCAGTTAAGCATCTGCCTTTGGCCCAGGTCATGATCCCAGAGTCCCAAGGACAGAGTCCTGCGTTGGTCTCCCTGCTTAAGTGGGGAGTCTGCTGGTCCCTCTGACCCTCCCCTCTCTCGTGCTTTCTCTCTCTCTCTCAAATAAATAAATAAAATCTTTAAAGAAAATAGTCAATGAATGAATTAATATGTATTGATATGGGGAGATGTCCATGATACATGAAGCTTAAAAAAAAAACAACATAAAAACTGCAACACAGTTTGGATAATTTACCATACTACAGGGAAAAAGGTGGACTTGACAGAGGTAGTAGCACTCACCAAATATTCTGTACTCCACATTCCACATGTCCACAGTTTACTTGTAGCAGGGCAGGGCTATGATTATGAGTTCTGACTAGTAAATTGTAAGCGGAAGTGGAATATGTCAATTTTGGACTGAGGCAGTAAAAGAGTCCACGCATGATTTTATAGTCTCTTTTCATTGCTGTGGTGACTAAAAGCACCATGTATTGCAGAGTTGACCACAACAGGGTAGAATCTCCATTACCATGGGCCCGTGAGTGACTGCATGGAGAAAATGCCCTGCCAATCTGCGTAAGATATCCAGCATTAGCAAGAAATAAATTTTTGTTATGTTAAGCCACTGAGATTTGGGTGGATTGTTTGTTATTGCAATATAATCTAGTCTATCTTGACTAACACATGTACACAAATTAGCATTTATCAAGTACTTACTATATGCTAATAACCCTGCTGAATGCTTCTTATTAAATCCTTGTAAAACCTTATGAACCAGTAATATTACTCTAAATTGAGGAAACTGAGGCAGTGTGAGGACCAATAACTTGTCCAGGGTGGCCAGCGAAATGGAGAAGCTGGAAATGAAACCAGGCAGTCTGGATTAAGATCTACCAAAATGTTAGTAGTAATTATCCCTGAGGGTAGGATTGTGGGGAGTGATCACTCTTTGTTCTGTGTTTCTGTAATGTTACAGATTTTAAAATAATTATTTATTACCTTTGCAATAAGCAATATATAAATAAATATGTAGATAAACTATATGTTAGTGGGGTGCCTGGGTGGCTCAGTTGGTTAAGCAACTGCCTTCAGCTCAGGTCATGATCCTGGAGTCCCAGGATCAAGTCCCGCATCGGACTCTCTGCTCAGTGGGGAGTCTGCTTCTTCCTCTGACCCTCCCCCCTCTTGTACACTCTCTCTCTCACTCTCTCTCTCTCAAATAAATAAAATCTTAAAACACAACAACAACAAAAAACTATATGTTAGCTACTTAAAGACTGAATTCAGAGATGGAAGTCAAGTGACACTGGAGAATGGTATAACCAAGGAATGACTAAACATGACTCTGCCACCCATAGCCATACATGGTTTTATAAGTGAGTTCCAGCAAATAAGGTGAATCATATTATATTTCACAATAAAATTGGTTTAGTTTTGGAGTAGGGGCCAGAGGGGGGGGAATTAATAATATTAAGGATATTAAGGAATTAATAAAATGGTCATGCCCACAGCAGGATGAACATTGTAGTTCTGGGAACGTTTTTCAGGTTTTCTAGTACTTAATAGCACTCTTTAAAAGAAAAGTAATAATAATAAAACAATTCCTTGTAGCTAAAAATGGCCTTATTAAATGTACATTTTAAATGTTTTATTCAATAATATTTAGACAAAATATATATGGCATAATCCTTAATAATCAAGTGTACATGTAGTTTTTCTGGCTGCCCAGGATCTGAATTTGGAAATTCAACAGTGTATGACTCCTGACAGGAGGAAACTAAAAGACCAAAATACTGGTTGCCCCAGACTCTGGGCAGCTAGCTGTTCTGGGCTGCCTAGACCCTCTTGGCTCTCTCATTTTCTGAGCCTGGTTGGTTCTCCAGCCTTCTCACTGATTTTGTAAACTGACGATCAATCCTTCCACAGTTGGTTTCTTTTGCCTGGAAGCAAGAACCTGAACACCAAGCAGGAGCTACAAGCAGCTATATAAGGTGAAGGAATAGTATCTAGGCAAAAATGAGCCACCTTTGAAAGTTTAAATAACAAGACATATATTGTTAGCTATAACATGATAGTAAATGCCATAAATTCATTGCAATTAAATTAGAGATATTTTCCACACCACCACATTTCTCATGAGTTTGATCCTTTGTTTCCTTTCCAGGAATTTCTGTCATATCTGCGTATTCCCTAACTCCACACATAAATCTCCTTATGCTTAACCACCAGTCCTCTTTCATTTATAACATCACACTTTCAAAAAAGTGTCATTATGTTACATGATCTATGCAATAGTAAAAATGCTGTAAATCTGTGGTTTAACATTATAAAAAAACAAATTATGGAACCATTTTATTAGGTTAAGTTCAAAAGTCTTCATAACACAGTCTCACCTATGAGAAAATGAAATTACCTGAGTTTCACTTGCCTTATGGAAATAATAATGCCCATCTTATCTCCCAGTATTAATATAAGGATCAAATAATTTATGAACACGTTTAAGGTATGTACCATATTTCATCAAATCTTAAGATACATCCACTGTAAGACATGCCATTAGTTTAGGTACCACAAAAAGAGAAACAGAATGGCCAATTAAAAACTATAACACACACTTTCTAATCACTTGGAAACTCAATTGATCAACCTAGCAAAACAGCCATTTATACTCAATTAGATACAGACTGTTAAATATAATTCTTGTGCAAACATTATGAGGAAAATATGAATGAAATAAATTGGTTAAGGCATTCTTAAAACTCTTCATTGAGTCCAACATTCCCGAATCATTTCTCAACTCAATCACTGATAGCCACGTTTTCCCACATAATAGCATTATCTGTGCCATCAAAAACACTGTTGACGCAGAATTTCTTATAAGAATCCACAAAATGTTTTTCTGGTTCAAGATGGCGACATAAGAGAATCCTGAACTGACCTCCTTCACAGACACACTGAATGTTCAGCTATGTAAAGGACAATTCCCTCTGAAAGAAATCCAGAAACTAGCTGAGTGACTCTTACGTATCAGGAAAATGAGAAAAACCCACACTGAAATGAGTAGTAAAGCCTCACACACAATCTCACCATAAACCTCAACCTTGGCACAGCAACACACAACTGGGAGGGAACTCACAACTCACAGCTTCTCTCTGAGGAGTAAAGGGTTTGGACCCCATGGCTGGTACCACAACTCTTAAGACTTCCACCTGAGAAATGGACTCCCAAAGCGTCTGCCTTTGAAAGCCAATGGGACTTACAAGATCCACAGTCTTTGGTGAACTAATAGACAGTTCTTAAAAGATTTCTGGGGACTCACCATGGCTTACCCCCAGGGCCCAGCACAGAGGCAGCAGACTGAAACAAGCCCAGTCTTTCCATGAAAGAAGCTACTTGCTTACCTTAAAAACTTTGGCTTGAGGGGCAGGCTTCTAATTTAATACAGTCCAGAAATTGGAGGCTGGTAGGTGCATCTTCCTGTTCTCCCTTTGCCTCACTCCAGGTCATCAGTATCTCCCAGAAAGGAGCTCGTCCACATGTCTGATGCCCCAGTTTTTGTAGCTGCTGCCCAGAGGAAGCCCCTAAATGGGGCTTACATTTGCGGGTACCATAGGACTGTAACAAATAGAAAAACAGTTCTTAACCAGGTATCCCTCCACTGCACAGCACAGAGGCAGCAGACTGAAACATGAGGAGGCCTATTAGCTTATTTTAATAGCTGTGGCCTGAGGGGCAGGCTTTTACTTTAACACCAGTCTAGGTGCAAACTGCCATCCTGTCCAGAAACCAGGAAGGCCGGCAGCACCATCTTTGTGCTTTCCCTTTGCCCTGCTCCAGATTGCTAGTGTCTTTGAGAAAGGAGCTTATACACATGTCTGCCACCCTGGTTTTTGTGGCTGTCACCCAGAGGACACATCTCTTGATAACTTGACACTGGTGGCCAGTGGGGCTTGTGTTCATGGATTCAGTGGGATGGTAGCAAATAAAAAGTTTTATTTTATTTTATTTTTTTAAGGTTTTTAATTTATTTATTTGTCAGAGGGTCGGGGGGAGAGAGAGAACACAAGCAGGGGGAGCAGCAGAGGGAGAGGGAGAAGCAGGCTCCCCAAGGAGCAGAGAGCCTGATGCAGGCTTGATCCCAGGACCCTGGGATCATAACCTGAGCTGAAGGCAGATGCTTAACAGACTGAGCCAACCAGGTGCCCAAACAAACAGTTCTTAACTACCTATCCCCCCAGGACTTGATGTGCAGCGGCAGCAGACAGAAATATACATCTCCCAGTCTGCCCCTGAAGGAAGTATATTTACATGCTTTAAAAGGAAGTGGATCAATGATGAAAATATCCAAATATGAGCATCAGAAGCCTTCCAGTCTACCTGATGCATGATCTTTGTAGTTCTGAGAAGCAAAAGTAATTTAAAACAGTAAGGGCTTATGTCTAGAGTTAGGAATGTATGTGCATATGCGTGCGTGTGTGTGTGTGTGTTTATAAAGGTGACCATGAATAACTGAGAACTTGTTGATGAATGAATGAGATATGGCAGGGGGTGATGTGTGTGTATGAAAGACTAATCAGTTCTGATTAATGATTAAAAGTTTTACTACAGAATTTTATAATTATGAGGCTTTCTACACTTGATCTGAGATCAGAATGAAATATTTTTAAAAAGAAAGAAAGGGAAAAAAAAATGTTCCCTGAGGGTCTGGCTTCTAATTAGTCTGCATTTAGTGCTGACTGAGAGCCTCCCCTTTGGGACACTGACAAATATTGGCACATCCTTAAGTACTGGGAGCCACTAAGAACATAAAAGGTCACTTAGACAATCACAAAGCTTTGAGGAAAAAGCACAAGGAGCTCAGGATTGAATAATAAGGTTCATCACATAAATGAGACCACTCCTTCAAGAATGAGAAAGGTCGTTGTTTTATCTAATACAAATCAACAAAGTCAAGAAAACTGAATGGAGGAACAAGATAAAACCTCAGAAAAAGAACTTAATGAGAGAGAGATAAGTGATTTGCCTGACAAAAAGTTCAAAAAAATGGTCATAAAGATGCTTGCTGAGGTCAGGAAAACAATGCACGAACAAAGTGAGAATTTCATCAAAGAGACAGAAAATATAAGAAAATAGCCAAACAGGGGGCGCCTGGGTGGCTCAGTCATTAAGCGTCTGCCTTCGGCTCAGGTCATGATCCCAGGGTCCTGGGATCGAGTCCCACATCAGGCTCCCTGCTCCGCGGGAAGCCTGCTTCTTCCTCTCCCACTCCCCCTGCTTGTGTTCCTGCTCTCACTATGTCTCTCTCTGTCAAATAAATAAATAAAATCTTTAAAAAAAAAAAAAAGAAAGAAAAGAAAATAGCCAAACAGAAATCACAGAGCTGAAGAATTCAACAATTAAGCTGAAAAACTCAATAGGCGTTTTTAATAGCAGATGAAGTGGAAGAAAAATCAGCAAACTCTTAAGACAGGGCAGTAGAATTCATCCAGTAAGAAGAGCAAAAAGAAAAAAATGCAAAAGAATAAAGATAGCTTAAGGGATTAATAGGACAACATCAAGAGGCCCAATATTCACATTTTAGGGGTCCCAGAAGTAGAAGAAAGAGAAAAAGGGGCAGACATTTTTTTAAAGAAATAATGGCTGAAAATTTCCCTAACCTAGGAAAGAAACAGACATCCAGATCCAGGAAGTTCCAAAGAAGATGAATCCAAAGAGACCCACACCAAGACAAACTAATTAAGTTATCAAAAGTTACAGACAAGGAGAGAATACAAACAGCAAGAGAAAGACAACTTGTTATGTATAAGGAAACCCCCATAAAACTATCAACAAGTGGCGCCTGGGTGGTACAGTCAGTTAAGTGTCTGACTCTTGGTTTCAGTTCAGGTCATGATCTCAGGGTTGTGAAATCAAGCCCCGAGTCAGGTTCTGTGCTCAGTGTGGACTCTGCTTGAGATTTTCTCTCTCTCCATCTACCTCTCTCCCTCATGCTCTCTCTCTAAAATAAATAAATAAATCTTAAAAAAAGAAAAAAGACTATCAAATTTTTTCAACAAAAACCTTTTAGGTCAGAAAGAAGTATCATAATATATATTCTATTTCTCTCTCTCAGCTAACTAACTAAATAAATAATCTTTAAAAAAAGGAGTTTTCCAGAGAAGCAAAAACTGGAGTTTAGCACCACTACACTGAATTTACAAGACATGTTAAAGGAATTTCTTTAAGCTGAAATGAAAGGAGGCTAATTAGTAATAGGAAAACATGATAGTATAAATTTCACTGGTAAAGGTAAATATATAGTTAAACTCAGAATAATCTAATGTAATGGTGGTAGGTTAATCATTTATAAATCTAGTATGAAGGTTAAAAGACAAAAGTAGTAAAAATAGCTATAACTACAATAATTTGTTAATGGATACACAGATAAAAAGATGTAAATTGTTAAATCAAAAACATAAAATGGGGGCAGTAAAAATGCAGAGCTTTAGGATGAGTCTGGACTTAAGCTGTTAACAACTTAAAATAGACTGTTACAAATATGTTTATTTTTTTTAAAGATTTTATTTATTTATTTGAGAGAGAGAGAATGAGAGAGAGCACATGAGAGTGGGGAGGGTCAGAGGGAGAAGCAGACTCCCTGCCGAGCAGGGAGCCTGATGCGGGACTCGATCCCGGGACTCCAGGATCATGACCTGAGCCGAAGGCAGTCACTTAACCAACTGAGCCACCCAGGCACCCCAAATATGTTTTATGTAAGCCTTACTGTAATCACAAAGCAAAACCTACACTACATACACAAAAGATAAAGATAAAGGAATCTAAGCACACCACTATAGAAAATTATCCAATCACAAAGGAAGAGAGCAAAAGAAAAAGGAAGGAACAAAGGAATTAGAAAACTATGAACAAAATGGCAGTAAACCCATACCTATCAATAATAACTTTAAATGTAAATGGACTAGGGGCGCCTGAGTGGCTCAGCTGGTTAAGTGTCCGACTCTTGGGGCACCTGGGTGGCTCAGTCAGTAAGTGTCTGCCTTCGGCTCAGGTCATGATACCAGGGTCCTGGGATTGAGTCCCACATCGGGCTCCCTGCTCGGCGGGAAGCCTGCTTCTCCCTCTCCCACTTTCCCTGCTTGTGTTCTCTCTCTCACTGTGTCTCTCTGTCAAATAAATAAATAAAATCTTAAAAAAGGGAGCAAGATGGCAGAGGAGTAGGAGACCTGGATTTCGTCTGGTCTCAGGAATTCAGCTGGATAGGGATCAAACCATTCTGAACACTTACAAACTCAACAGGAGATCGAAGAAAAGAATAGCAACAACTCTCTGAACAGAAAAGTGACCACTTTCTGGAAGGTAGGACGTGCGGAGAAGTGAATCTGAGGTGATATTCGGGAAGACAGACGGCGGGGCAGGGGACCTCAGTCGGCCGCTTCTGGCAAGTGATAGAGCTGCGGAGCACAAAATCGGAAATTTTAGAAGTCGGCTCCGCTGAGGGACGTCTCTCCAGTGGCTAAGTGGGGTTGGAACCCTTGCGGGACAGTGTGGTCTCGGGACCCTCGGGGTCACAGAAAGACCGGGGATGCCTGAGTGAAGCAGAACTCCCAGGTATCGGAGCGGGGAAGCCGGCTGCAGAGACGGAGCAGAGGAGCGGGCTCTCAGCTCGGGGTTGCCATAAACTGTGATCCACGGCACAGTCGGGCCACTGCTCCTCCATCAGGGACCCAACAAGCGGCAGATCCGGAGAGACTCACCTTCCTCCCCTGGGAGGAGCCACGCGGCGGCGCACCGCAGGGATCTGCTGGGTTTGGAGACTCCACACCCAGTCGGGTGCCAGAGATAAAAACGCTTGGTCACAGGCCAGGTGAGCACAGAGTGCGACCAGAGACCGGGGAGACAAGAGTGATTGACTGCTTTTCTCTGGGGGCTCACTGAGGAGTGGGGCCCCGAGTTCTCGGCTCCTCCAGGGTGGAGACTGGGAGGCTGCCATTCACTCTCGTCCTCCAGAGCTGTACCGAAAGCTTGCAGGGAACAAAAGCTCCGGAGAGCAAACGTGAGCAGATTACTTAGCCCAGACCAGGCAAGGGCGGGGCAATTCCGCCTCCGGCAAAGACATTTGGAACCACGGCAACAGGCCCCTCCCCCAGAAGATCAGCAAGGACTGCCAGCCAAGACCAAGTTTACCGATCAATGAGAACAGCAGAACTCCAGAGCTAAGGGAATAATGCACATAGAATCCATGGCTTTTTTACCATGATTCTTTAGTCTTTCAAAGTTAATTTTTTTTAAACTGTCTTTTTTTTTTTTAATTTTTACTTTTCCCTTTTTCAACCAACATCTTATCAAGCTCTTTTTTAAAAAAACATTTTTATTTTTCATTTTTAGAGTCATATTCTATACCTTCATAGTACTTACCCTTATTTTTGGCATATATATATATAAGTTGTTCTCTCTTTAAAATTTTGAGATACAGGGACGCCTGGGTGGCTCAGTCGGTTAAGCGTCTGCCTTTGGCTCAGGTCATGATCCCAGGGTCCTGGGATCGAGTCCCGCATCGGGCTCCCTGCTCCGCGGGAAGCCTGCTTCTCCCTCTGCCTCTGTCTCTCTTTCTGTCT